CGGCGGCAGTAGCGGCCAGCCGCACTAATTCCGATTCACCCTTCTTGAGCCGCCGTTTTGTCCGCATGAAACGGTGTATTCGACTGGTAGTGACAATGCAAATGCACGTCATTAGCGTGATGGGCAGACTGGTCAGGAGGACGCAGTCGGTAGCGGTGTGCAGGAGTTTAGAGACCCGGTTGATGTCCGCCGGTTTGGGTCGGAAGTTCTCCGTAAAGGCGTAGACGCCACTGGGAAGGCGAGCCAGCAGAGAAAAGCCCACCAGCCCGGCAATCACCGCTTTTACAGTCTGGTAACGCCAGAATGTCTTAACTTCGACAGGTTTGATGAAGAAGAGGAGGCGTTCAAAGGAGATGACTACCAGAAGCCAATTTCGAAAGAGCTCAAAAACATTGGAGACGTAGAAGAGTAGACTGAAGACAACTGGGTGCTCAAAGAACGCCTTGCTGTGGCTGTCTTTGGGAATAGCTTCCCTGACCAGATAAAAAAATAGGACTGATACGAGCAGATTAAAGTCTGAGAGGGCAACCATTGAGAGCAGAAGGCGTGTGCTCCTTGAAGTCCGCGAATCCTGCCGAAAGAGTAGGAGACTTAGGACACTAGTGATGATGCCCGTAATCATGGCAATGCCAGCTAGGTAGGTGAGGAATACATCCCCGACAATTTTCACAATTCTGTCTGTTTCCGTCAGCTCCGATGGTGGCGGATCTTCGGGCATTCCCATGGTTTCGGAAAATATGTCATAGCTGTCCAAGTTTCGTAAACTGCTAAAGAAAATTAAGGATGACAACTTCTGGCCAATAGACTTCTGGCTAGACTTCTGGCCAATAGGGGAATCTCCCTGGAATTGCATAAAGTGTCACTGGCGTGCTAAACAGTGCTGAAACAGAACAGACCTTTACATCTACTGCTTCCCATAAGGATTTGCAGGTTACGGAACAGGGCATACACTAAAGCCGGAACTGGGGGGAGGGGTGACCAGAAGCTTTTAGGACGCTGAGGTTAATGCAGTTGGGGAAAGACGTTGGGTTACGACTTAAATGACTCTAATTTAATCGATTTCTTTATTTACACTCTTATAATATATTTTTTTTCATTCGGGTGGCAAACGGATAACGGCCTCGAACATAAAAGTATGCGCATTTGTTCTGAGGTCAGGAAATTAAAGTTGGGATGTTTTTAATTCATTTTTATTATTACCTGCTCCCTGTGCCATTAGCATATTTGACTCGATAGCAAATGTACAAAAAGAGCTATCTGACTAAAGCATGTCGAAGTGAGCCCTTAAATGCGTTCAGGAACTGACTGTGCACAAGTGGAAACCATTTATTTCACAAAATATAGGATATTGACCACTAGCTCGCTGGCAATAATATGGCACACACTTGTGCTGCTTTTGTATGAATTATATATGCAAATAATTCATGATCTTACTGATTTTATGCTGCCTAAGTAGGATTATTGGTGCAACGTGGATGCACTGATTACATACTGAACATACCTCAACATTTCAGCATTTCTTCACTAAACAAATTAAGCAGCTCAATCATTGCTTCGAATTTTATGCTAAATTTGCTTCAACAGTAGGCTCCAGTACAATACTTTCTTCGCATATGAATTTCTTTACCAGTTGTTCTGTTCATGAAATATGCTATGCATTTTCTTGTTAATCGTTGTAGGGCAGTTAGGCATCACTCGTGAAGAAGACAGTGATTTGCAGTGCAAAAGCTTAAAATGCAAAAAATTAGGTAAGAAAGTCAGTTTTTATATTCGTCTCCCGATGCGAAACTTGGTAGATCACCTTACGACAACATATAAATCATGGACACCTCCAACGACTTTCGATACACATAAACGCTCTTAATATTGACCATCGCGTAGTCCAATCCCACTGTATTTCAGGTAAGTTAGGATGCCGACCTCAAAACGCCTTTTTAGTTAGTCGTCTGCGAAAAAAACAGCACTCGAGAGAAATCGATCTCTTAAGTAATATGCATTTGGTTTTGATTTTCGATGTCGCTCTAAATTAAAAAGTATTTTATAAAAAAACTTGCCCAAAATTATTTGTTAGTTTAGTGATTTCATTGCCAATCATATCTTTGTTTTAGGACCAAAGGTTCTGTAGAAAGGGTTGTCTTTGAGTTTTTTGAAGTTTCGAATTACATGGTTTTAAGACCGTACACTTTCCACGCAGTGTACGTTTACGCTGCTGTGGCCTTTCACACGGTATCTATGTCATGCAATGACTGGTTGCATTTTATAAACCATCACGAAAGCTGCTGAAACCAATAACTTATTTTGTTCATACATTATTTATCTTCTTGCCGAGAAAGCAATGCCTCAAAACGCGGTCATTTTTATACTGATTAAGCTTTTCTACGCGGTCTAAAACACGAGCATCAAAAGCATGCCGATATCCTAGCATGGCTGGAAGCTCCCGAGATTATGCCCTAGGATACTACGTACTGGCAGATAGTATTGCCGGCAAAGAGAAGGGAGACTGTTGTCGGTTAGTCCTATCCAGATCGAAGTGGTTCCCCACCCTCGAATTCACAATCTTTTTGGTCGCGATCTTTTGGCCCTAACCATTGAGCCAAGCTCCCTGTGTAGCCGATTCAGGTCAGGGGATATTGACGATTAGCTATATCGAGCGCTCGGTGATCTTATCACCTTTTATCTTTGTCACTTGACTACCTTGAATAATTCGCGCCACACACTTGGCTGTCATCATTACATGAACTAATCTGCTGAACCTGTAGATATGTTCGCCTGACTGTAAGGTGTTTCCCCTATCGAAAATTTGCGGTTCGGAAATAGGATGGGACATGCGATTGCGATTGGTGATTGGCTGGGCAACGCACTCTTTGGTCTCACGCTGATTGGCTGCTACGATGCATGTAACGCGGCTTCCTGGGGTTCGGTTTGGGCAGTCAAACGTATTGCTATCCACAAGTCGTGGCTGCAGATGAGGGCGAGTCTGAAATATGGAAGGAACAGTAAGTTTCCATAGTGGTTTTATCTTTTTTTCTGGGAATTGTATGTGCCCGTTAACGCTCTAGTAACTGAGCATCCTAGATACTTGCGACGGAGTTAAGCTCATCAATCCAACCTTTCTTTTGGCAATGCGCAATTAAAAAGGACTTCAGAATGTCCCATTTTCTAAAACAAAGGCACCTAGGCTTTAATAAAATGGTCAACTGATTTTAATTCGCCATTATATTCTGCTTGCATGAGCTCATTGTTTTTGCCTCTACCAAACAGCAAAATGCCGAAATTAGACGTATTTGAGTTACGTTCGTTCATTATATCTCACTCTCATGTGACTTAGGCTTTATTACCAGACGATCTAGCATTTCCTTTTACGAAGATAAGCGATTAAAAGAAGTAGAATAGCATAGTCGGCGACGAACTAGGTTTACTCCTATTATTACGGACACATTAAAGTTCTGAAATACTTTTTCAGTACTAACAGGATAATAAAGTATTGTTGCAGTTTTGCTTAATTTATGCAAGGACAAGGAAATTTCGGCAGTTAATGACTCGAAAGCGGACCGCCAAGCCATCATCGCACCCAATACGACCCCCTAGCAGTGGTTACAGGAGCCGTTAATTATAACACACATGCGGTTTGCTGCTACGAACTCTTAACATCGCGCAATCTCTGCATGTATCATCCCAATATGTGCATGTCTCACACCATTCTACGGTAACCTATGCTTAAGGGTTCTCGACAGAATCCGAAACGTCAGGAAAAAAATTAGTCTTGTCGCAGTGATCGCATCCTCTACTTCAGAAATTCTTCCTGGAACTAGCATATTCGCTTTTATCGGTTGGTCACTTCGCTGAGCAAAATCTAACAAGCGTTGCTCGAGCCTCTTTTGAAGTAACAGTCCCCATTTTGTTCCGTTGAAGTCGATTTTACGTCTGTCATGTCGGCAACAGTAGCTTATGTAGGCCCACTCATTAATCACTACTCTCTCCATGTTTTCCTACGAAAATGGTGGTTATAGGGTTTTAATGGGTGGGGAATTAGAACGCGCAATGGAATATACTTTAATAAATGCTAAATGCATTTTTATTTTACTCTGTTGTTGATTTATATCTGTAGATTTCCCTAATCTTTATTATCGTGTACCTTATTGTGGAAAAACCGGATGATCAAA